ACGAAAAAGGTGTAGAAGAAGATGGTCATGATAGAGGAGGCGGCCACGAGAGTCATGTCCAAAATGATGATGAAGCTGATGATCACGATCATGACATGGTCATGCCCGGATTCAGATTCCATCCCACCGAAGAAGAACTCATAGAGTTTTACCTTCGCCGCAAAGTTGAAGGCAAACGCTTCAATGTAGAACTCATCACTTTCCTCGATCTCTATCGCTATGATCCTTGGGAACTTCCTGGTAATTATATCTATTCACAAACACACATATATACATAGATCATCATATAAATCATCTCAAACTATTTAGGAATATTCTTAATTAAATTCTTGTACATACGTTAAGATCTATAGACGCAGTCAAGTTCCTTCTCTCTTATCACTTTCTCTCTCTATGTCTTCTCTTAAACCTATATATGTAACCTCCTTATGAATTATTAGTATATCCATCTTTATTTTCTTTATCAAATTAACCTAAAAACCCTTCTTGTATACCTATAATATAATATGTATATGATTATATAATTAGCTTGTATATGTTTGATGATAGATATATGTATGTGCAGCTATGGCGGCTATAGGAGAGAAAGAGTGGTACTTCTATGTGCCTAGAGATCGGAAATATAGAAATGGAGATAGACCGAACCGAGTAACGACTTCAGGATATTGGAAAGCCACAGGAGCTGATCGGATGATCAGATCGGAGACTTCTCGACCAATCGGATTAAAGAAAACCCTAGTTTTCTACTCCGGTAAAGCCCCTAAAGGCACTCGTACTAGTTGGATCATGAACGAGTATCGTCTTCCTCACCATGAAACCGAGAAGTACCAAAAGGTATAAAATCAATTAACTTTAGCTATATACATATATCCATTACATACATACGTACATAAATATAACCCTAGCTAGGTGGTGAGGCCTTCAAAATTGAATATAATCACTAGGCTGTTTGAATTTGAAAATTGTTGTTTTCTCTTTGTTTAAATTTATTTTGGAATTGATTCGATAAAAGATCAAAAACATATTTGTGAATGGTCTAAATGTCAGGCGGCGTTTGCGCTTAAATCTAGAAAATGTTCATGTCATCTGCGTGAACTCTTTAAATTTCTAGCCATGGCCCATTGTTATAGTAGTATACACATTAATAGATTTCTGCATACACATAAATTTAATCACAAGTACCACATTCGACATTCATATATATACCTTAATTTCTGAAGAGTCTTTGGTAATTAGTTTTCTTACAGTTTATCATATTAATGTTTCCTGCTCTTTCTCACATTCATGTCTTCGATTTAAGTTGTCTAATAACATTTTTTTTTAAGAATATATAATTTGGCATATACGAAAATTTGAAATCTATACACATACATATATTAATATATAATTATGTAAGAAGACAAGAAAAGTATTATCTTTTACGGCTAATAACAATGGACTGATAAATACATTTTTGGGGTCTTTCGAATTGTATTTTGTCACCTTGTAAAGTATGCATTATTCCTCATTAGATAGCTCATAAATCTACCAATCTAAGTGCAGGTGTGTGTATTTCACATCCACTTATACTGGTAAAAAGTTAAATTACATCAGCTAATTCTTAAATCTCCAATTGAAAACATGATAAATCTTATATGGCCGTCATAAGATAGTACGTAGTCTAAATTTCTTCTATGCATATTATCTTGTTTTGCTAATGCTAAGTTTACATATATAGTTTGCGATTCTTCGATTTTAAACTCATCTCTTCGATAAGTTATCGATAAATTATAATTTTCTATCCAACAGTCTTTTATATATATTGACATAGTGTTAGTCTATATTGATATATGTCTCTAACCAATGCTTCATGCATGTTTAAATTATATAGGCTGAAATATCATTATGCCGAGTGTACAAAAGGCCAGGAGTAGAAGACCATCCATCCTTACCACGTTCTCTATCAACAAGACATCATCATAACCATAACTCATCATCCTCATCATCCCGCTTAGCCTTAAGACAACAACAACATCATTCATCATCCTCTAATCATTCCGGCAACAACCTTAACAACAACAACAACAACATGAACAATCTCGAGAAGCTCTCCACAGAATATTCCGGCGACGGCAGCACCACAACCACCACAAACAGTAACTCTGACGTTACCATAGCTTTAGCCAATCAAAACATATATCGTCCAATGCCTTACGGCGCAAGCAACAACACATCGATAATCTCTACGAGTACCCAAGAAGATGATGAAACAGCCATTGTTGACGATCTCCAGAGACTAGTTAACTACCAAATATCAGATGGAGGTAACATCAATCACCAATACTTTCAAATCGCTCAACAGTTTCACCATAATCAACAACAAAATGCTAACGTGAACGCGTTACAACTGGTTGCGGCGGCGACTACAGCGGCAGCAGCGCTAACGCCTCAAACGCAGGCGACGTTAGCCATGAGCATGATCCCAGCAGGGACGATTCCAAACAATGCTTTGTGGGATATGTGGAATCCAATGGTACCAGATGGAAACAGAGATCATTATACTAATATTCCTTTTAAGTAATTTATAACACTAAATCTTGATTATTATTATTATAGTAATGCTGCTTTGCTATATTTATATTTACTATGATATAGCTATATAGACTATGATTGATCATTGCGATGTTATGTAACGATTGATCATTGCGATGTTATGTAACGGAACTGATTCCCAACATATATGTTTAAGTAAAAGCAATTTCTTGTGTTAAAGTTTACTTCTTCATTCATGCTATATATGAATATTAAGTATTTATGTATGACAAAGGAATCCAATCCTTATTATAAGTCATCAGCCGAAACAAAAACAAGACATAAAATGATTCATTTCCTGTAATAACCGTAACAGAAACTAGACAAAATAAAATAAAATAGAAACACTAACTAAGAAAATGATTCAAATTGATCAATCGATCAAATGGTATTTGATTTTGTTCATTCCAATCCAAAATTTCATAAAGAATATATAATTTTGATATCTTTATTTTTTTCGTTTATATTAGAATTCATGTGGCATTGTCGTTTATATTAGATCCAAGGTGTTAAATTAACCGATAGTGCGACGACTTTATATAGATAAAGAACAGAAACTCTTAAAAATTTAACAGCTGGTTATGAGATAAAAATATAAAAAGACACTAGCCAGTTTTTGTCTTCGTGAGTAAGAAGACTTAGGGTTTGACGAGAAAAATAAGTAAAACATAGGGGGACGACGTACGTACCACATTTGGTGAGAGCAGTTGTTTCCCGTGATATTGTAAAGATTGGATAGGACCAGCATGAATAGTTTTAGTTAGTTATATGTTTCAAATTTTGTTTATGTTTAAAATTGTATATATATATATATATATATTGTTTTATTTTTATGAACTATGGCATGTGCATCTTTAAAATCTTGACTTTGTAAATATTAGTTCTTGAGGACGACTAATTAACTCGTGTTCGTTCCCATCAATAATTTACGCCTTAAAGAAAATATTAAAAGTTGGTTTTGATTCCGCACCGATACGTTAGAATATGAATCTAACGTACGTACGTCGTCGTGAAATTTTTTTGTTGTTAACATTTTTACGAAAAAGCATTAATAAATTGATTTGTGTTCGTATAGTTATGTATAACTAATGAATATTTTATGAACTGTAATGTATATTAATATTAAAGTTATTCCTAGCTATATTGAAAATAGTGTTTTTACTGTACTCCTATAGTCCTATTGAAAAAGTTCTGAATATGTAAAGTCATAATAGTCTTTTTTTTTTTTTAATACTATATCTGATACTGATAGTAACAAATAACACTAATTAATCATGTTATATTGTCTTACTGTATATATTGCGTGTTTTATCTTGTATCTTGTCGATTGTCGAGTTTGTAGACTATTACATATACAGTATATACCAATTACCAAATGGTTGACAATCTGAGACAAATTAGATTATAGTTTCTTACATCTAAAAACGCACAAAACAATGCTGGTCCGTTTCTTACATCTAAAAACACACAAAGACAATAAAGATTGAAAATATACAAAATAATGATAGTGTTAAAAAACCATAACTTTTTATTTTCTTCCTATCTAGCTCTTTTAAGAATTTTTTTTTTTAAAAAAGATTTATAATTTACAAGAATATATATATTCTTTCTTTCTTTTTTTTCATAAAATATTTCGGTGTAATCGTGGAAAAAAAAAGTCGTAGATGATGAATTGATGATAGTTAAAAACTTTCGAATCTCATCTCCTAGGTTAAAACTGCAAACAAAAAGCCCACTACGTTTAACGGGCCAGACATGCTTTCTTTATATTAACAATACAAACCTAGGCCTGAATTGTCAACTCTAAGGTGAAGATTGAATCTATGGTTTTGTTCGGTTTAGACGCCGGTAAATAAAATCTTAATAAATCAATTTAATACCTCTGCCCTGTACAGAAAGGCGAATTGAAAAAAAACGAAAGTATTGGGAGTCTTGTATAATTTCTAAAAACGATGGGGTGTCGAGGCAATTTCTGTAAACTTATCATTCGAAATTAAAACTGAAAATAAATGCTTGACCAGAAAAGAAAAATAATGTAAGTTTCCAAAAAGAAAAATAAAATAAAATGTAAAATTCAGGAGTCTATAGAAAAAGTAGGATACGTAGACCGGAATTAATAAAATTAATTTTTATATTAATACATAAATACACAATTTTCTTTTTTCTTTTTATATTAGTATACTACAGTCAGGACAACTTTTGTTTTATACAATTTTAAGAAGCTTTTAATTTATTTCTTAATAAAGTATTTTTTTAATATTGTTTTTTGAACAAATTTAGTGTATATCTTACTATTAACAATTGTTATTTTTTTTTTGTCAGAAATTAACAATTGTTATCTTAAAGATATATTTCCAAACAATAAAAAAATAAATGATAATAAAGATAAACATAGAGTTGTGTCTCTATATAAGTCCCAGCCCCAAAATTGTCATAAATCGGTCCCTTTTGTTTTTTTTCGATTTAGGGTTTCTAAGCCCTTTTGTCTATTTTTTCTTTTCTCAATTTCACCCCCAAAATTAAATCTTTCTTCAGAGAGAGATTTACAAATTTTCATCTCCCCAAATCTGGGTTTCATCGATTCTTTGAAAAATTTGTCCTAAGATTTTGATTTTGACCGGAAAATTCTCATATTTCGCCGGCGACTCTGAAGCTGTAAATTCATTCTCCGGCGACGTCGTCTGTGAAATATGGAGGGGATCAGTCATCCTATACCTCGTACCGTTGAAGAGGTCTTTAGCGACTTCAGAGGTCGACGAGCTGGTCTTATCAAAGCTCTCACAAACGGTGAGTTTCGGTCTTTCTCTCTCTCTCTCTCTCTCTCTCACTCTGTTCCATCTTCTTCTTTGTCCGATTCTGGTTTTATTTTGTTTCTAGCCCTGATTAAAAAAACAAAAAAAGTGTCCTTTTTTTTGTGTGGGTTTCGTGAGATTTGACGATTCTGGGTTTTTTGTGTTTCTTGTTTATATGCAGATATGGTGAAGTTTTACCAAACGTGTGATCCTGGTGAGTTATTTCTTTACCAGTGTGTGTTTAATTTAGTGTTGATTCATAATGTGTTCTGTTGAAGTGCTGTTATGTTGAAAGTTACTGAGATTTTTGTTATGTTTCTGCATTGATTTGAGAAATAGATTTTTTGAATTTGTTCACTCATGGATGGTTTTCTATATATATATATATTTTTTTTATATAATTGAGCTTCCGTTTGATCATATCCTTCAATTGTTCTGTAGTGATTGAGTTCAGATCTCAGTTATGAGTAAAAGCTATAGTTTTTTTCTCCTCAGTTCAAAACTTTATCTTGGATTATTTTTCCTCCTCTATTTAATCCTTTTTGGAGGCTTTGTTTGTTAATTATGATTATCTACATATTTCCAGCTAAAGATTGAGTTAGTCTTGTGTGTGGTTTCTCTTAAGATCTTCCATTCTTGTTTATGCAGAGAAGGAGAACTTGTGCCTCTATGGACTTCCAAATGAGACATGGGAAGTTAATCTTCCTGTCGAGGAAGTTCCTCCTGAGCTTCCTGAACCAGCTTTAGGCATCAATTTCGCTAGAGACGGGATGCAAGAAAAGGACTGGGTATCTTTGGTTGCAGTTCACAGCGATTCATGGCTTCTTTCTGTTGCATTTTACTTTGGTGCACGTTTTGGATTCGGTAAGAACGAGAGGTAAGGTTCTTTCTTCAGCCTCAGTCTCTCGAGCGTTGCAACTCAATTGTGATTATATAATGTGTGGTAAGATTTATGAGGACCAATTTGGCATCCTCATGTTTAGTCTCCTGGTGCTGGATAATAACAATCTCTCTGTGTCAGGGTTTTTATAACTCAGTTGATCTTGTTTCATGTGTTGGGTTCTGTTAAACTCTTTTTTTAAGTTTTCAGTTTCGATATTTTGCTTCATGAGACAGAATTGAAGCGACAAGAGTTATGAATCACCACAAACTGGATCACTGTTATTGAGATATATGTTGGACTCAGGTCAATAGATGTGATATGTGCCTCTAATTTCTGATTAGTATTTCTTGTGTTAGTCGAGTGCAGGATCACTATAATTGGCCTAGGCAGTTTGTTCTGAATTGTATTTTTGCAACAATCATTGAATTTGTTAGCTCATAGCTAAGGAACTTTAAGCAGAATGAGTTGGGATTCTGAATTTTTCTATTGAAAGGATGTTTGAGCTGAATGAGTTGGGGATTCCGGACTTGTTTTGGGTTTAGTTCGTGAATCAAACTCTGTATGTGTGGTTCTATTGTGGATCTCATCAGTTTCTTCTTTTGAATTAAGTTTCTTAGTGCTGTGTAGTTATTACATGCCTTTCAGCTTATGCTATGAACCGATTCTTTTTCAGGAAGAGGCTATTCCAGATGATTAACGAGCTGCCAACCATTTTCGAAGTTGTGACCGGCAATGCAAAGCAGTCCAAGGATCAATCTGGTAACAACAACAATAGCAAAAGCAAATCTAGTGGCATCAAGGTATCTCTTCTGTTTATCCATTTTCATCAAATATAATCTCTCTGTGACTCTCTGTTAAGTTCTCATCTCATTGTAATTCCTCATAAGCAGTCTCGCCATTCGGAATCTCTCACAAAAGTTGCAAAGATGTCATCTCCACCACCAAAAGACGATGATGAAAGTGAAGACGAGGATGAAGACGATGAACAAGGTGCGGTTTGTGGCGCTTGTGGAGACAATTACGGTACAGATGAGTTCTGGATTTGCTGCGACGCATGTGAGAAATGGTTCCATGGGAAATGTGTGAAGATAACACCTGCAAAAGCAGAAAGCATCAAGCATTACAAATGCCCAAGTTGCAGTAACAAGAGAGCCAGACCTTGAAGTTAAATAATCAAATTGGAAGAGGTAAACAAGTTAGGAGAGTTGTGCAAAGAAGGAGCTGAAGTTCCCAGTTTATAAGAAATTGCCAGTAAAAGGGGCTTTAGAAGATGAAGTTGTAAGAAGGTTCAAAATAAGATACTTTTTTTTTTAGTCTTTATTGTGAGATTAAGACTATTTATAATTGTTTGTCCTTTCTTTTCTTTTTTGGATTTTTTCTTTTCTTGGTGTTGTTGTTAATGTTAGTTCTACTACTAATTTGTTTGGTCTGTTTAAGATATTTTAGATTGATCAGTAATTTGCAAAAGTTGTGAAATTGTTTTGTGCTTTTATAGTTTTTTTTTTTAAATAACATAACAAATGTGCACATATACACTGCAATCAATAATGATCTTGTTGTGTGTTGAAAACTTGAAGTATTTACATGACAGAATGAAGTTGACAGATACTTGACTAGGTTAATTTGACCCAAATGTTAGACAAGGATTTGTGTTTGGATAAAGCTTATTTATCATACTTAGGCCTTGAATGGCTACTAGTTTTTAGGTAGATTTTGGTTTTAGTTTTTCCAAAAATCTAATTTGTTGCCATTCAAGATTTTACAAAATTGGTTTTCCTAAAAAATAGGGAATCTACTTTTTATGAGATTTTACTCATTTTCAAAGAGAAACCAAAAACATCTTTTGATGATTTTTTTCAACGTCAATGTATTTTCTTTCATTTTATAATTTTTATTTTTTATTCCTTTTTTATTTTTTTTCTTTTTAACAAAAACCAAAAACCAATTATTTAGAATCTAAAAACTAAAAGCTAAAATCCAGTTTAAAATCTCATTCCACTCATGGCCTTATACACTATCATGCCACTAATTTATTAGCATAGTAAATTGTGTGTATTTACAGTTCATACATAATTAATTTTTCCATAAATGTTTTATATAAACATTATTATCTAAGTAAAGCGACATAAGTATGGCTATAATGATACCTTGATTCTCTCATGCATGATGCATGCAACAAATTCTCAACATGCAAATTGCAAAAGCTAATCTTGGTATACAACATAACTTTCAAGACACATACCTACTAGTTTTTAGGTAGATTTTGGTTTTAGTTTTTCCAAAAATCTAATTTGTTGCCATTCAAGATTTTACAAAATTGGTTTTCCTAAAAAATAGGGAATCTACTTTTTATGAGATTTTACTCATTTTCAAAGAGAAACCAAAAACCTCTTTTGATGATTTTTTTCAACGTCAATGTATTTTCTTTCATTTTATAATTTTTATTTTTTATTCCTTTTTTATTTTTTTTCTTTTTAACAAAAACCAAAACCCAATTATTTAGAATCTAAAAACTAAAAGCTAAAATCCAGTTTAAAATCTCATTCCACTCATGGCCTTATACACTATCATGCCACTAATTTATTAGCATAGTAAATTGTGTGTATTTACAGTTCATACATAATTAATTTTTCCATAAATGTTTTATATAAACATTATTATCTAAGTAAAGCGACATAAGTATGGCTATAATGATACCTTGATTCTCTCATGCATGATGCATGCAACAAATTCTCAACATGCAAATTGCAAAAGCTAATCTTGGTATACAACATAACTTTCAAGACACATACCCCCCCCCCCCCCAATTTGCTTTTACTTAGCATACTTTTTTTCTTTTTTGCAAATATGTAACAGCATTTTATCAATTCATTATGTAAAAAAGAACATGTTATCATGTAACAAAACTGATGAAATAGGATGAGGCATTATCATTACACAAGAAGTAAAAACTTTACATAAATATATGGGGCCATAGTGACAGAGGCCTCACGGTATCTAACAAAACCGTTGCATGTGTTAGGCCTTTGTGTTTATTTTTTTTTTTGTTTCTTTGCATGCAAACTATAAAAGCATTTTTTAAAGAACCCAACCTATAAAGTATTTAAGTAACCATAAGCTTTCTTTAATGCAAATTCAAAATAAAGTACACAAAGTCACATACTTGTCATCTTCTCATATATACCACATGTCTCGTGTTGTTGTTGATATGTGTTTGGTAATGTCACTGGATCGATCAATGTTAAACCTATTCATTCTCTTTTAAAGCTTTAAGCCAAAATCAAGCTGACAAAAATAGAAAAAAGGTTACCAAATTAATCCGTTGAACCACGCTTTTTGGGGTAGGGGATATAAATTTAATTTTTGTTGTTAAGTACGATTAGATTTTAATATTTCAAATCATCATGCATTTTTTTTCCACTTCAGTTTCATCTTTAATTTATAATTACGAACAATGCTTTGGGTTCTATTTTTAAAACTCAAACCGAAAATATAAGTTATTATTTATTGAATTTTGCTTCAAATTTGCTATGAAGACGAATCAAACTAGTTAGACCGCAAAACATAAAGCATTGTAGTCGATATATATGTGCTTGATGTTTAAAAGCTTTGCTATTATTCTACATATGTCGTCCAATCTAAGGCAGTGAATGGCGACAACTAGAAGGCGTATTTGTAAGTGCGTATTTATAAAACTCACATTATACACCATTCATGATTTCATTTGTTATTAGCGTTTTTCAAGAAAAAATGTAAAGTAACTGTTGCGTTTTTAAAAGCTGGACTAATAACTCATGGACCGCTTCTTTTAGCTCTTCTACCTATTATCCAGTGGTTTTCGTCAAATACGCACTGGACAATGATATTTTTTTCTTCTTTTTTTTCTTTTTATTAGTATGATGAATAAATAAAGTTAAATCATCAACATGTATTTCAATAAATGAATAGATGCTAAATTATTCTTTAGTTCATGTTTTATAAATGATATACTTTAATAAATGATAAATTTTTGCAAATGTGAAACCAAAAAAATTAAAAAATTTGCAATAACTCCTTGAGTAAAATAAAATTCTGCTTTATGTTTTGATTTTTTGTGACTAATAAAAAATAGTAATAATCAACATATATTAACAAGTTACTTATGCTAAATAAGTTCTTTAATTTAAAATTTAAATATTCTTATAATTAATTTGAATTTTGAAAAAAAAAATATTTTATTATTTCTTCACAAATGATAATATAATTAATTTGAACTTTTAACATTAAATACAGATTCATAAAAAACTAAAACTGTAGTCAACTTTTTGTTCAAAAATATGATTAAATTATATCATATATATTACTTAAAACTTAACAATTTTAAAATGAAACTATAGTTTCAGTTATAACAAATCATGTTAAGAAATATGTATTCTCACTATTTTAATAAAGATAATTTACATATACTTCAAGCTTAAATTTTGTTTTTAAAATTTTATAAAGAATAGATGAAAATACTATTTCATTGAGAAAAAATCAAATAATATGAAATCCGCACTTCAAATCATTTTTCACCAATCAAATATTATTTGTACCGCTTATTTTGCATTTACCGCACTTGTCCCGCTAATATATTTGTCCCGCACGTACTGCAGTTGAACCGTACCGCACTATCAAATCGCTTATCCCGCACAACCAAATCCGTTGTTACCATTCGGACCCTAAGATTTGTCTATTCGGATAGTGAAATTGTTATTTTCTTCTTTGGAAACTGTACGTGTGGGATGTATTTTTGTTTTGTTTTGTTTTGTGGATTGCTAAAAACATAAGCTAGTCTTGGTACGAATAAGAGCACAATTATATAGCTGTTAATCATGATGATGATGTGATAAAATTATGATATATTAAGTAAATTTTGGGCGCATTATCCATGTAGATGGAGTTGACAAAAAGAACAAATTGATCATATAATTAGATTGCAATAATTGGGATTTTTAAGACATGGTTTGTAAGTGGTGATCAATGTGTCCACATGATTTTTCATCTAATCTTTTCTTTAAACTTTCTAATGTTTGACCAAATCATTGAAAATTAGTTCAAAATTTACCTTAAGTATTTATCATTACTCATTTCCACACAAAAAAATAAAAGTATTTATCATTACTCGTAATTTAGGACTGTTGGTCAGAATTATCAATTTTACAGACACAAATTATATTTTGGTCTAATTAGAAAATACGTTATTACAAATACATTATATTTTTGTAAATCCCCCTTAGAAATGCTTGTTTTTGGCCTTTCTGCAATGAAAAAATATACCTTAAATAAAGCATTTCCCTGATTCCCTCTATGCACGTAGCTAGAGATCGACATGAAGTAACATTGCTTGATGAAAAACAACAAATTGTCGTCAGGAAAATTAAATACATAACGGAATCAATCAAACAATAATAGGAAAAAAATACTAATCTTAGCAACAAAGAGTCGTGCATGTGATGTTATACATTTTCTCCGGCGTAGACAACGGACCAAAACATTAAAACAGCTAGCTAGCTAACCCATTAGATTTTTGTTTTTACAGTTAAGACATTTGTCAGTGCAAAAAGATTCAAGGCTTTCATTGCTCTCATTAGCATTTAACTATCGAATTTATTTGGACCATATCGTACTTATGGACATTCGTATGTACAATTAGGAAAGCCAAATACTTTTTTATTTTATCGGAATGTGGTAAGATGACTAACTAACATTTTTAGTTATCTTTCTTGAATTCTGAACAATACTGTTTTCATTACATATATATACAAGCAGGATTAGATTTAGGGTTTATGAGAAACCCTCTAATCTTTAATTAAGTTTTTCGAAGCAGCTTGGGAGCTGTACTCATTGATGAAGACCTATCATACTACTGATATTGAAATGATCCAGATTGTATCAAACTACTCCAAAATTTCCTGCTGCTACAACGCAAAACCCTATATCTAATCTTTAAGTAAGTTTTTGAGTGCTTCCTACATCTTTCTTTGTTGCAATAATCCGATATAATGAAATTTAACTCTTATATATATATATATGATCAAAATTGTTTGTTTGAAACAGAAATAAATGTTTTAATATTAAAAAATATCACCTTTTTGTTTGCTAATGTTCCTTAAAATTCAACTAAATTTTATAATTTTATAAGATCAGTACAAAATTAGCATGGCATAAGTATACGTAAAGATGATATCTAGAAATGCAAAACGCACGTGACAAAAAAACATTAGTAAATATTCAACAACACTATATATATCGTCATTAAAATAAATTCAACAACATTATTGATTTATTCTCATCGTTTTTTAAATAATATTTTATTCTTCTAATTATGATAATCATAAATGTTCATTTATATACCATAACAACTATTTTTAAATGAAAAAGTAAAATTCAATATTATAAATGAAAATAGTACTTATTACTTATTATCATAAATAATTACATGCTTTCTTTATTTATTGTAATCTAAA